AAAGCGAAGAGCTCCCGACGGAACGCGTGGGGGAACCTTTCCTACGCCGACCTCATCACCAAAGCCATTGAGAGCGCCCCGGACAAGAGACTCACGCTCTCGCAAATCTACGACTGGATGGTCCGCTACGTGCCCTACTTCAAGGATAAAGGCGACAGCAACAGCTCGGCCGGCTGGAAGGTGGGGGCGTCCGGGCTTTGGGCAGGCCACGGGGAGGGGGCTCTGGAACACCCCTAGGGGTCTTCTTGTGCGCGCCCAGGGCGTGGGGCAGGTCACTTGACAGGCGGGGGCGTGCTAGCAGTAGCTGTATTCATTCATGTCCCCTAGGAAGGACGCGCGGGATTAGAGGTCTGGTAGGGTAACAAGGGACTATCTTTTTGAGGCATCCCAGAAGAATATCCCTAGCCTGTCCTTGAGGGCATAGCAGCATAACTCATGTAAAGGCCACAGACACTGGGAAGCCCTCTTCGCTTTCTGTGACTTGTTTTACCCTCTCCACTAGAGCACCCGCTTTAAAGAGCTAGAGTCATGACCTGAGGCTCCTGGCTGCTTTCCCTCCCAAATCCCCAAGCCCTTCTCGGAGCTGGCCCCATGGTGAAGAGTGTTAACAGACTATGGGTCCGCGAATTCTTTCTATGGTATCAAGAGTTTATCCTGGAGCACCAACTAGACGGGGTGAAAAGCATGGCAGGTCACCTGAGATGGCCTCTTCATGGGGCAGGTGTTGTCAGCCCCTTCCCTGGTATATCATGGGGTGGGGGCTGCTTAGTGATCTCTGCTACTACTTGAGGGAAGGGCGCTGAGGCCTGGGTGTCTATCTCTGCCCACTGTAGGCAACTTATCTACCACCTCCTTGGCTTCCTGGACCCAGATGCTCTTAAGAAGTGGGGTACCCCAGGGAGTCTTCGGTGGCAGGCAGTGGAAAGGGGAGAACCATCTTGGGAGAAGACTTAGATGGGGGTCTTCAGTGGATTGCAGCTTCTAGATACAGCTCCTCCTTGGCCATCTTGTTGGGAGATGGGGCTAGCTTATGCATTAGGGTGTGAGGAAGCTCGAGGGGACTCCTTGTGGGAGAGGGGGGCCACTATGAGGAAGACATGCCTGTGTCTGGAGATGAGGCTGTGCAGGGTGTTGGCCGGCAACAGGGTCTGAAGAGAGGAGCAAGGGCTATAGCCATGGACAGCTCTAGATGCACCTGGTTATCCTGGGAGCCCACAGCCCTTGGGATGGTGGTATGCTGGCATCTTCTTTGGCTCTCCTTGACCATTATGGGGCAGGGATACAGGACAGAGAAGTACACCTGAGTCTCATCTCATCCTTTCTCCAGTCCCTGTAGTTCAGTTCCCACCAGAATACAACTTCCTGTGAAGTGTGTCCTGCCCTTGGGCTTGCTCCCCTTGTTTCCTGAGTCCACCTTCCATTCCTTCCTGGAGATGCAGTCACTATCCTCAGGGGTACAGAGTTCTAATGCCTCTTCCAGGAAGCCTTCCCTAACCTGTCAGCTAGCTCAGGTCTCTCCATTTTTTTTTCTGGCCCTGAGGCATGCATCATGGATCAAACATGTGTGTCTTGCTTCCCTTTCCCTCCCTCCTTTGCCTTTGAAAGCCAGTGTCAGTGTCAGGGTTGTTCGGTACCCACAGCACCTTATATAGAGTCTGGTTCAAGAAGCCATCAGTATTTGTGTGGTGAGAGTAAAGAGATGAGTGGCTGGCTCAGAGGGGGTGGGTTGGCGAAGAATACCAGGACCAGAGCAGATCAGGAGGGCTTCCTGTAAGAGGCAGAGTTCCAGCAGGCTTGGGTGGGTGAAGGAGACTGGGGAAAGATGGGAAGCAAGAAGACAGCAGCAGTTCACTGAGCAAGCATGTTGGGGCCAAGCTCTGTGCTGGACTCTTCTTATGTCTTTAAAGTGCAGGTCCAGAGCACAAAAGTCAACGGCCTAAGGTCCCACAGCTCGAAAATGGGCAATTGGACTCCAGCCCAGGTGTGTCACCTCTCCAGGTCCAACCAAACCTCTGGAACAGTGTCTTGTTGGCACTGGTAAGAGTGGGATGCTGATGGCTTTGGAGCAGGGGCAGATATAACTCTTAGAATGTGATGGCAGTGTGCTTGGAGATAATTGAGCCCCGGGAGTTCATTTCTCAAACTGTGAGACTGAGGCCCTGGGAGGTAATAGGACTCTCTCTCTCCTGAGGGTGTCAGGAAGCAGTAGGCCCTGGACAAGGGCCCAAGTTTCCTGTCTGCCCACTGAATGCAATCCCACTGTACCACACTGCTGGGGGACACACTGGCTGCTCCTGTACCTCGCTCCCAGTCCCAGACTGGGATACTGAGTGAGCAGCCCCAAGCTTGGACTCCTGCTTTTGGTCCTTGCAGAAATCACCCAGATCCTGGAGGGAATTTAATCCATGCTGTCTTTTCAGTCCCCCTTTACCCTCCTGCTGCCCCAGGGTCCCTCCTTCCCAACTCGTTCCTGCAACTTCCTGCCCTTGAACCCCTTTTAGGCCCTCCCAGTCAATTCCTCCAGAGGCCTGAAGGAGGAGCTGTCTCCAATTCTGTCCTGATCTGAGCCTGACCGGTTGCACCTCAGGTGCCAGGACCAGAGATCCCTTTATTCCTTCATCCCTTTCTTTCCCCCACAAAAGTGTTGCCCTTGGAAACCTGAGGGGTACCAAACCTTGATTCCATGGGGGAGAGGAGTGCACTATGACTCCTTAAGGAGACCTGTGTTCTTGGCTCCATCTTCAGGATGCATTGCTCTGAGCAGCTTCTACATCCAGACCCTGTGTTTTGAGACAGGAAAGGCTGGTGGGTGTGGCAGGGGCTGGGGAAAGTGGGTTCCATATTCTAAGGAGTCTGATGTTCCCTCACAGAGGTGACACTTTGTCTTCTTGTTTAGGGAAAATAAGAGAGATAGTTTTGTGAGGGGTGGGTGAAGTGACTGTATGCTCAAAGGCAGAGAGCAGGAACTGTGCCTGCTGGATTTTGGGGTTCTTTGCTGTTGCAGACTGGAACCTAGGGCTCTCAGGCTGGCACGGAAGTAGTTCTGGAAAGGTGGAGTGGCCACCTCGGGAATGGAAGGTAAGGAGGAGGGGTGCTCTGCCCTGAAGTCCACCTGTGATGAGAAGAGGGGTTCCCAGTGCTGCAGAGGACAGCAAGAGGCTCAGGACACCCAAACCAGACAGAGAGAGGTCTGGAAAGTTAGGACTATTTGGGGTTCTATCAAAAAGGGCTCTGTTCCCCTGGGAACAGAGTATCAAGCCTGGGCTCAGGGCTTGGCCGGGAGTGTAGTGGTGGCCCAAGAGTTATGGCTCTCAGAGTAGAACCTCCCATTCCCTCTCAGCTGCTCCATAAACTTCACGTTCCCTTAGCCTTTGCCTCTTACGGGAAGCCTTCCTGGCTGCACTGTCCTGCTTGCTGTTCCTTCCACTGAACGCCTCTGGAGTTGTTCAACTCCTTTTGTGTTTCCTGGCTTCCAGTCCTTGGGGAGCTCCCAGGCCAGGCCTGGGCGCCTCCCATTTTTGTCCCTAGGCCCAGAGGGGAGGAGCCCAGTGGATGGGGACTTCCCCTCTCCCTCAGGGGCTGTAGCAGCCTTGCTGCTGAGGGGTGGGATCAGAAGGCGGGTGCTAGCCCCATCTGGCCCAGGCCTGGCCCTGTAAATTCCAGGTGGGGCGGGGGCTTGAATGAGGGGCTGATTCCTAGAGGCCAGCAGCGGGGTCCTGCTCCAGGACCTGAGCGTTGGTTTGGAGAGTAGTGCCCCCTCCCCCAGCCCGCTCCACCAGGGTGACTTCCCCCTCCTTTGTCCTCGGGGGATCCCCAGCCCCAAGGGCTTGTGGGGGTGCGGGAGGAGGCGGTGTGAGCCCCTATTGGGGGGGTGTCCTCACCCCCCTCACTGCACGAGC